GCCTCCTTTCCTCCTGCCTGCTATGGCTGCATAATTGTGAGGGATTTCTTAACATAGTGTTCCTGCCAGGGAAGCTGGGGACCCTGCCCATGAGTCTCCATTTCATCCTCACAACAACCCTGTGGGGTAGGTTAGGTAGAGAAGGGGAGATTTGGCCCGGGGTCACTCAGCCAGCAGAGAGAATACAAACCTGGGTCTCCCGACATCAATCTGCAACTCTGACCACTGTGCAGTGCTCCCTCTACTGATCTGTAATGTTCCAGAGGTGTTGTAATGTAATACTCAGTTTCTCAAACGAGTGTATGCCTGTCTGTTGGTTCACTTAGGAGTCTTGATCCTGGTTGTGTGGTGGGCTAGTTGTGGCAAATGGTAGGGAAGCTCAGTATTTCTGTATACAGTTGTAGGGGCTTTATTGCAATGTGGTATGGCCTGATATTATGTTCTTATTCCAGTGTGGGGTGTGTGTGGGGCAATGGAAGCTGAGTGATAGGGTCTCTCCAAGTGATTGCCAGAAGTGAGATGCGTCCTGGTCTTGTGTCTTACAGATAATCTTACAAATAGTCCTTTGTATTTATATCATGCTTTCAACTTTAAAAGGATCATAATGCTGATTGTGTGAACTTAGGCAAATCAAGAGAGGTAGAGCAGGAAGGGCTGCATCAGTGCTTAGTTCTTGTGGCCCTTTCTTACACACCCAGGGAAATGCTGATTGCCACTTTGGGGCCAGGAAGCAATTTTTCTCCCGGAGGGTTTTTTTAAAATCATATTCTGGGCGTGGAACAGGGGTCACTGGGGTGTGTGTGTGGGGGGGGTATTGGTGAATTTCCTGCATTGTGCAGGGGGTTGGACTAGATGACCCTGGAATTTGCCCCTAGGAGTCCAAGGCCACCACCCCGGAGCTCAGGGAGGCAAGGGAACGTTTCGCCCCTCCCCCCGTGCGGGCTTAGCGGCTGCTGCTGAGAACAGCGGCGGCAGCCATAACTTTTAAAGAGCCCCTCCCGAGAGCTGGGGGAGCCAGAATGACCTCTTGCGTGTGATGTCCGATTGGCAATGCCGCTCGGACATCACACGCGAGAGGTGGAATTTGCCCCTAGGAGTCCAAGGCCACCACACCGGGGCTCAGGGAGGCAAGGGAATGTTTCGCCCCTCCCCCCGTGCGGCCTTCACAGCTGCCGCTGAGAACAGCGGCGGCGGCCATAACTTTTTAAAGAGCCCCTCCCGAGAGCTGGGAAAGCCAGAATGACCTCTCCCGCGCGATGTCCGATTGGCCATGCTGCTCGGACATCACACGCGAGAGGTGGAATTTGCCCCTAGGAGTCCAAGGCCACCACTCCGGAGGCAAGGGAACGTTTCGCCCCTCCCCTGCGCGGAAAAAAGGAGAACATTGCGCCCTGCCGAGAACAGCGACTGCGTCCATAACTTTTTAAAGAGCCCCTCCCAAGAGCTCACATCACATGTGAAAGGTGGAATTTGCCCCAGGAGTCCAAGGCCACCACCCCAGGGCTCAGGGAGGCAAGGGATCGTTTGGCCCTGCCCCTCCCCACTCTCGCATAGCAGCTGCCACCAAGCCGGGCCATAACCTTTTAAAGAGCCCCTCCCGAGAGCTGGGGGAGCCAGAATGGCCAGCAAGGCGAGAGATGGAATTTGCCCCTACACAAAACTGCCCTAGGAGGCGGACTCACAATCAACCGCAGTATTTGAATACAGGCTGTCTTCCGTGGGGACTACATTTGCTTTAAAAGAACTGTGGCCTTCCTCGACCTGTGGGGGGGGGGGGGGGGGGGGGGATGCGCAAATTTCTTCGACTGCTCCAGCCTTGCCTTGCTGACTCGGAAGTAGGTCCCTTTGATGTCCGTGGGTTTCTTACGCCAAGGTCGTACGATCGAAGCACGGAGATCCCGCATGCGCAAGACCCGGACTGTGTTCCGCACGCAGCCAAACCAGAGGGGCGGAGTTCTGGGGAATCGTCGGCCTCGGGGCGTGTCTTCGCGGTGCTTGATTGGCTGCCGAGGCCGGGGAAGAGGCCGGGTGGTGCTGGGCGGAGGGAAGCAGGATGGTGGAAGCCTGGTACATGGACGAGTCCCCGGAGGACCAGCGGCAGCCGCACCGCCAGGAGCCTAATCAGCCCGCCAGCCTTGAGCGGCTGAGGCAGCTGGGCGTTTTCTATTGGAAAGTAGGCGGAAGGGAAGCGGGGCTGCTGCTCCTACCTCTCGCTCCTTCAGCAAGGAGAGGCCGGAGGGGTGGGGGTGGGGGCAAGTCAGGGTCTAAACGGCGCGGGTTGAGCGCGCTTCGTGGCGCTTGGCAGCCCTCTGTGACTTCAGATCGTTTGGTTGTTCCGCTCCCGAGCCGAAATGTCAACAGGAGCAGCCGAGCGCCGGAGAGGCGGCCGGCCGGTTGGTCGGCGGGCCCACGCGGGAGCGCCAGAAGGCCCTGCGGCTTAGGTTCTGTTCAGAAATCAAGGGGCTGAAACGCCTCTGAAGGAAAGGTCAACGCCGTTGGGTCGTTCGAGTTCAGAGTAAAAGACGACGGAGGGAAGGACGTGCCAAAAGTTTATAACATTGCCTATTGTGTGGAGTGAGTGGGAACACTTTCCCCTGCTGCCTCTCTCATAATGCTAGTGTCCAGGGTCAACCAATGAAATATATTGGCAGCATGTTCAAGACACTTATTCACACACTCGCTTTGTGGTTAGTGGCTGTTTATATAGATAATTCTAGAGGAGTAGCTGAAGTCTGGCAGCTCCTTCAGGACCAACAACATTTATTCTAGCATCGGCTTTGATGAATCAGGATACCAGACCTCTCTTGACTCAGCTGTTTCCGTTTCCCCCCTCCCCTTCTGTAATTTTTCTCCCCGATAAACGTGAGGGATTTTTTTCTCTCCTTTCCATTGCATGTGAGGAAGTGAGCTTTGGCTCATGAAGTCTCATGCTGCTGGAATATGCGTTGTTAGTCTTTGTGTCACTGGACTTCTCTTAGTTTTGTTTACACAAGACTTGAAAAGGGGTTCTAGACAAATTCATGAAGGACAGATCCATCAACATCCATTAGCCATGATGCCTAAATGGGATCCTCCATGTCCAAAGGCAGTGAATCTCTGAAGAGGGAGCCACAGCTAGGGATATGAAGGACAGATCCATCAACATCCATTAGGCATGATGGCTAAATGGAGCCTCCATGTCCAAAGGCAGTGAATCTGTGAAGAGGGAGCCACAGCTAGGGACAGCTGTTGCCTTCATGCCCTGCTTCTGGGCTTCTTAGAGGCATCTGGATGGCCACTGTGGCCAGTGCTCCCTCTAAGCCATGGAGTCTTGTGAGCAAAAAAATCTACTTTATGAGCTCCTGGCATTAAAGATGTGAGCGAGCAATTTGGCTACTGCATAAATTAGTTTGCTCTGAAGCCATTCTTCCTGAGCTAAGACAAAAATCTGTGAGCTGGAAGCTAAAAAACGGTGAGCTAGCTCACACTAACTCAGCTTAGAGGGAACACTGGCACAAAACATTTTGCTTTATCCAGTAGGACTCTTCTAATTGTGGCTAGTGGCCTTCAAAGGATCCTTGGAGCAACAGACTGAGGAAAGAACCCACAACCATCAGTCTGGTTACCCAGGTGTAAAGGAAGACAGGATTTATGTCCCTTGTCTAGCTGTATGAAAGGGACAGTTTTTAGCTGGAGTAGCATGCTGTTGCATCATGGTGAAGAGAAGCTGCTTCTGCTGCCATCCCCATCTTCCTAACTGTTAAAGATACAACAGGCTACTCTGCTGATTCTTGTCACTGGGGAGGGGATTCTACTGTCTGTACTGAAAGCTGAAGTTCACCACTGCTTTCTGAATCTGGCCAGTACTAGTGCAGCCTCCACAGTATATGGCAGATAAGTACAAGCCATCCTTTGTGAATGAGCCTAGTTCCTTCGCTTCCTCTGGGGCCTCCTCCATGTTGCTCAGTCCAGAATAGATCTGCTGAGAACCAAGAAACAATTTGGTTTGTAACTTTTCATGGTTGTGTGAGTTGTTTTGGGAGGCAGTCTTTCACTAAAAGAGAAAAATGCATCCACACCACAGACCCATATTCTCTTTAGGTCATCTACAGTGGAATCCTAAACAGAGTTACATCCTTCTGAGCCCATTGTGGATTTAGGATTGCACTGTTGGCATCACTGAAGGCTCAGTCTTCTGTCATGCATCCAGAATGCAAAACCCAGTTCTTTGATGGGCATTTGATTGACTGAAGCAATTAATATTTTATTGAACTGAGACTGGTCTTTGTTTCTTTTTTGACTTTTCATATGAGTCCCACTTTTACTGGAACTGTAAACCATGTCAGACTTCTCCAGAGGCATGAGCTGCAAACAAATGTATAAATGTGGCATGATCCTGTGGGTTACCTGTTGACAAGGGTCACATAAGATCACCACACCACTTTTTCAGATGGAGTTGTGACCAGAGAAAGATGGCCGGGGGGGGGATATCATACAAGATTATCAGATGTATTTTATGCTATTGTTATGCCCTGGCTTGCTTTACTTATGTTGGCTTAGTTCTTAATGGCTGTTCTGTCTTCGTTGTAAGCTGTCTCAAGATAGTCTCTGGAGAGATGGCATATCAGTTTTCTAAATAAATAAATTATATCAGCTGCACTTTGGTACCACAAATGACTCATGCTGGTAAGCAAAAAAAGGTGTGAAGCCATCTGAAACCATGCATGCTATGCATCCTATCATGTATTTGAGGGGGGATTGGATAACTAAGCATGACACCTCTGGGGGGTTAGAAGGCCTTTGAGCTGTACTGGGGAGGGTGTGTGTGTTTAAGCTCTCTCTCTCTGTGTCTGGCATTTTAGCACCACTGTTACACTAGAATATCCTTACAAATTGCTGATTATGACTACATGGGGAGGGGGAAGAACTGCCAAATTTAATGCTGTTCTCTTGTGTATTCACCACTTCCCCGAAGGTGGAACGATTACAATTACTGAACAAATACAGTTAATCTGGGGCTTGGGCAGTATATTAAACTTGTAATCAATGAAGGCCCCCTGATTCTTGTCAGCATTTAAGTGTAATCTCATTTGTTTGCCATGTTCCTACTGCTTTCTCTACCGAGGCTAATTTGTTGCTTTGGAAAGCTGCCTTGCCAAGGATGGCAGCGTTGCCTGGGGGAAAATCCAAGACAGGAACTTTGTATAGACAGTTTATTGCTCCTGGTGGACTGGAGCTTCTTAAGGCAGCACTGTACTCTGGAGAAAAAACATAAGTATTACAGATGACCAGCTATATTTTAATCCCTTGTTGAAGTCCCAGGGGATCAAAATAAATCATATTACCAATAATTCCTTCTTGAATTCACTGAGTAAATAGTCGTGATCCTTGGTAAACATGGGCTGCATCCACCCCTATATCAGTGGTGGTGAACCTATGGCACGGGTGCCAGAGGTGGCACTCAGAGCCCTCTCTGTGGGCACGCGTGCCATCGCCCCAGCCAGGCCCAGACCATCATTAAAGCGTCGAATTCTCTGCCAAATAATTTTAAGTAAATGAAAGCATTTGGGATTGCTTTCCTTACTTTGTTTGGATCATCTTAAGTTAATGTATGAGTTTTTTCTAAAGTAAAACCTCAGTAAAGGTAAAGGTTCCCTTGCTTGAAAGCCAGTCGAGCGTTGCTCTAGGGTTGCGTTGCTCATCTGTGTTTCAAAGCCGAAGAGTCAGCGCTGTCCGAAGACGTTTCCGTGGTCATGTGGCCGGCATGACTAAACACCAAGGCACACGGAACGCTGTTACCTTCCCACCGAAGTGGTACCTATTTATCTACTTGTAATACTCAGGTTAAATTGCCGTGTTGGCACTTTGCGATAAATAAGTGGGTTTTGGGTCGCAGTTTGGGCACTCGGTCTTTAAAAGGTTCGACATCACTGCCCTATATCATGCCAAGCTAGAGGATCACAGACATGTCCAGGATCTATCCCTGTGCTTGTTTTGGCATTGTGGCAGCATTATGTTTTGGATCAGGGCTATGGGTTTTGCCATCCATATTTGTGATTACTTTGCTGATAGGTTATATTTTCTTCCATGGTTATGTACCTTGGAATAGCAGAAATGCAACTAGGGTGGTGAACAGGCCTGGAGAAAAATGTCCTGTCTTTTCAAACAAAACTTAATGTGTAGAAATGGGCAGCTGGAGCTTTTTCATGGTATGGAGGCAAATAACATCCCACCAAGCTTCTATTAAAGGGGCAAGATATTCCCCCCCCCCTCCCACATTGCTTGCAACCCATGCTTTGGGCAGGATTTTGGCAGCTCTTAGACATCCTGCACCAGAATATTCAGTTAGTTATTTGGTAGCTTTTCAGAAAACTTGGATCTGCTTTTATTCTTTAATTGGAAATATTGCTATGAGTCAGGTGTGGGGAATGACTTTCTGATTGGCAGTACTAGCCAATCATCACTTGGCACAGCTTACTGAGGAGGAAGGAAGAGGAGGGGCTTCATGGTTGTCACAAGGGCCAGCCGGTCAGCACTTCGCACAGCTAGCGTGGCTGGAAATGGAAAGAGTCAAGTGCATCTGGGCCTGATACAGTTTGAAAGCTTGTCTGTTCAAAATTGGTGAGTGTGGATCTGTAGGAGCTTCACTGTGTATCCGGTGTTACGTCAGTATGCAACCTGTTATTGGCCCTTACATCTGGATTGGGGAAGCTTGAGTATGAATTGTAGCTAAATCATGGGCCTCTCATCACTTTATTTGCCCACCTGTGCAGTGGGAATAATGAGAATCTGCTTTGTCAGGTTAAGTGCTTTGCTCTCAGAAAAAGTTTTTAGAAATGACTGATGTTTATCTCATTTTTGAATGGTTTATTGAGGAAAGCCTCTTCTTCCGTCCTCAGCTGGATGCTGATCACTATGAGACCGATCCAGTCCTAGCAAAAATTCGCAAGGAGAACAACTACTCTTGGATGGATATAATCACTATACACAAAGATAAGCTACCAAGTTACGAAGAGAAGGTAATAAATTCTGCCTCTGTTTGGGCTTTGGAAGGGTTGCAAATGCTGGAATTTACCACTAGAGTGTGTTCCAGTTTTTAAAAGTTCAAGTTCGGCTGTCTGGACAATTGATTCCATTCCCTATCTGTAAGGGCTGAATTCTGTGGTTTTTGCCTTTTCAAATTAAGGATTATTCAATCTTCTGTAACAGGAAGGTGTGTGTTTGCCTTGCAGTTTTTCTTACTGCTTCTGGAAGGACCTTTTAGCAGTTGTGTGAAAGTCAAAAACCCAGCTCTTCCTTGCATGCCAGGTTCTGTGATGGTACAAGCGGCATATGCAGAATTTCGTGCTGTTTGTTTTCTACCTGTTATGCAGCTGTTCTTGGCATGGCGGTTTTGCCAGAAATCATTGACAACCATTAGTCAGCAATTTGGCAGAGTGTATGAAATAGGAGCTGCGGTGGCTCAAGTGGTTAAGACGCTGAACTGCAGGCTGTGGAAGGTCAGTAGTTCAGCAGTTCGAGACCTGGGTGCCACATGACGGAGTGAGCTCCCAACTCTAGTTCCAGCTCCTGCCAACCTAGCAGTTCGAAAGCAAGAAATTGCAAGTAGATAAATAGGTACCGCTTCGGTGGGAAGGTAACAGCGTTCCGTGCGCCTTAGTGTTTAGTCATGCTGGCCACATGACCACGGAAACATCTTCGGACAGCGCTGGCTCTTCGGCTTTGAAACGGAGATGAGCAGCGCAACCCTAGAGTCGGATTCGACTGGCTTTCAAGCAAGGGAACCTTTACCTTTACCTTTTTAATGAACTGTCTAACTGAATAATACTGTGTTTGAATTGATAGTGGATTATGTGAAATCTTCCTCTGTGGAACTCCTTTACATGTGCCTTCATCAAGTGAATGTGGTGTATGCATGTGGGAACCTTTGACCCTCTCAGTTTGACCCTTTTTGCTCATTCCAAGTGACTGGTAGGTAGGCTTACAGCCCTTCCTTCCTTCCCTCCCATGGCATTAGGCTTTTCTCTGCCTCAGCCTTGCTCCTTTGCCTGCCCACGCCACAGCTTTTTGTTACCAGTCACATACCAGGATACCTACAGAAGTAAAGTCAAGAGAGATTACAGTTGCATTAGATGAACGGAAGGAGACAGCAGGGGTGCCATTTCAGGAAGTGGGGGGGAGGATTCTCTTTAAGGTTTAAAGAGCTTGTTCAGGTTTAATTTGCAGGAAAAAATGGATTTTAAAAGTACGTTGAGGTTTCTTTGCTCAAACTATGTTGACTACCTTGCTAGCTTTATGAGATAAAAAAAATTCTCTTCAGAGGATCTGTGCATTGGCCACATGTTCCTAGTAAATACACCTGCTTAATTGCTTATAGTCGGTTGATATTTTGACCAAGTGGACAGGCCAGAGATCCAGGTGATCCCAAGGAATAAGCACAAACTGTCTGAATCAGGGAGCTGGGTCTTGACCTTCCTCAGTGGCACCCTTGGCAGAAAAAGATGACTGGAGATCGATAAATTGAATGATTAGAAATTGGGATGCAACTGGGTGGATAAACTGAGGGTGGTGCTGTAGGGAGATGGAAGTCTAGCTAGTCCAGACTCTGGCACATGTGTGTAATCTGCTTATCAAATGTATTTGTGCACCCTTGGCTTGCTTAGGAGGTTGGCTACAGTCTACGTGCTGCCAGACTAGATAGAAGGGTTTGTCCCAAAAGGTCAGCATCGATTGCAGCAGAAGTGCTGTTAAGATCAATGAAGTGGTCTTAATATTCTGAGCCGCAAGCTCACAATTCTGCCTGGAGATTGTCTGGCTTTACAGTGAATGACTTACGACAGACAAAAAACGTGAACTATGAAAATGCTGATGAAGGATTAAGTATAAAGGGGGCTGGAGTTTGGATTTGAGACGGTTTAATTCTTGGGGTTTTGTGCCAGTAAAATATGAGGTACTGAAGAATCTTAAATAGTGCTTTTGAACCTTCTGAAACCTAGACGCCTACCTTTAACTACCACATGGCAGCTTGGGACTCACTGATCTTCAAGTAGACTATAGGACGTCACATGATGTCAAAGGCATGTGACCAGAAAAGGTGGGAGAGCCAGAGTTGTGTCATCACCATTGTCAAGGCCAGGACTGTGGATAGCGAAAAAGCGGGCTCAGGAAATACAGCCTGAGCACAAGGAGGTGTACCATAGTGAAGAACAGGCCCAAAGGTCAGTGTCATGGAGGAATTCTCTCCAGTGTTGAATGACTTTGCCTTGTTGTTCTTCTCTGTGTGCTCTTACTCTCTACAGATGTGTACTTGCAGCAGATCATTCAAAAAAGCATTAACAGTAGTTTTCTTTTTAAGGGCTTGCAACCCATCAGGTGGTACTCCCACATCCCATTTGAGAGTTCCAGTGGGTTAAAGACCACTGACCCCATAAGCTGCTGTATCTGAGGTCCCTACCTAAGAAAAATTAATGACATCCATGGGTTACTATTGAAGTGAGAGAGAAATATACGTTGTTCAGCTTGGAGAAGGAAACTTTTTTTAGTCACTGGATGTCCAGTGAGAATTTTTAAACTGGTATAGCAGAAGGGCAAAAAGTGTGAGGTAGAAAGTTCTTCAACCGTGCTGTTGGACTAGAGCAAAGCTCTGGGATGACCCTGGGCCAGTAGCGCATTCCTTCTCTCTCAGCCTAATCTGCCTCACAAAGTGAGCCACTCGGAGGAAGGTGGGATAAAAATGTAAGTGATTTTACAAGTGGACTTTAGGTAAGCCATTAGTCTTATCCCTCATCTGCTGTCTGGGATATGCTTTGCCGGACTGTTGTAGATATTGCTGTGATGATGCGTATGAAATGTCTGGAGCACTCAAAATATGCTACATAAAAGCTACATTTCTGTTCACTTAAAGGGGACTTTTTGTTTTTTAGATGTAACACCTGGCAACTGTTACAGTGCAGTGTATGCTTACTGCTAATAACAGACTCACAAAATAAAAAGCTTCCTTCTCCCTTCCCTCCCTTTTCTAGATAAAAATATTTTATGAAGAGCACTTACACCTAGATGATGAGATTCGCTACATCCTGGAAGGAAGTGGGTATTTTGATGTTCGTGATAAAGACGACAAATGGATTCGGATTGCCATGGAAAAAGGAGACATGATCACACTCCCTGCTGGCATCTATCACCGATTTACACTGGATGAATCTGTACGAAATGACTTTCTTTAAACCATTTGGCTAGAACTGCATATTAATAGCAAAACTCTTAAAACCCCTAGTACAAACAACTAAAGTGGAAACATACAGAAAAGATATTGTAGGGCTGGGCTGTGCCCCTGACCACTTCTTAGATTCAGTACTTTTGAGTTTATAACAGGATTTACTGGAAGTTTATCAGTTGTTAGTAGCTGTTGTGCATCTCACTTGAAATCCAAGCATAATAGCAACCCATTTTCAAGCATAACCTTTCTTCCTCTTCCAGACTGCCGTTCCAAACTCTCTGGGATTAGAAATCAATTCCTAAAGGTTCAAGACAAGGGATAGTACCGGAGTACATGTTCTTTCTCTGCCCTTTCGTACTGCTGCTGTTATGGATAAATGGACTGTCTCTAACCTTGTCACAAAATCCGTCTTTAGTAAGGGATTGGTGTTACCATGGCAACTATCCAGTGGTGCCTTTGGGAGATCTATTCTGCTCTTCCTGTTGGCTTGTTGCGAATATAGAAAGTTGAGGACACCTTTTCTTGCCATGGGGCTGTCACTTTGATACCTCTGACTGGTAGCCATCTTGTCAGATTAGCTCAGAAGTCTATTGCTTTTCCTATGTATGGCATAAAATCTGCATTTCTGTGTTAGAGTTCCAGGATCTTGGGTTTTGTTTTCAAGGAGTTACCTGTACAGCACTAAAGATAAACTATTTGAGAAAATGTTCCATTTGTAGGGGTTTTGTCAGGAGGAAGCAAGTCAAGTAAGATATGGACCTGAAGAAAGGGAACAGGTCCAAAGAAGATTATTACTAATTACAAAATAAAATCAATCTGAAGAGTTGAAAATCACGACCCTACATGTATTTATTTGTACACAGCTCATGCAGAATAATATTGCTATAGCTTCTATGTATGTCCCAAGTCTTGTACAGATAGGTTGTAAACATTATCTTCATTTGAACAGCATTTACAATGTTTACATAGAGTTCTCTAACACCTAAAAGATAAACAGGTAGTTGTAACTTGAACATTCACATTAAAATAGAATTAATGCAGCTTATAAAGTAGAATGTTGACTATGGATACCCAGGCTGTAACAGACCTAATATGATAACTCTTTTTTGGGGGGGAATTTTTTTTTTTGGGGGGGGGATTACATACCTTCCATTGCCGTCCTAAGCAAGGTTACACCCTTCTATGACCATTGAAGACGGCAGGCTTGGAATGGTGTAACTCTGTTTAGGCTTGCACTGTTAGCCACCAGTGCAGTTATGATCATAAGTCTCTTCCAGTTGGGCATGGTGTGGTGACACTGTGATCATGTTTGCTGATTCCAGATTAATTATTCCATAATAATTACCCTCTCTTATATCTTTTTGCAATGTGGATTAGACTTTGCATTCCAAGGTATGTTTGGAAATATAGATATATTTGTAGAAACCTCATGTTTTCAGGAGACTGGCTATTTTTAAAAAACCTTGAGTAAAACTGTATTGCTAAGCTTTGTGCTTTGATCCGACTCCTTTCATATCTTTGTACATTGATCCTCCTTTTCTACAGGAGTTAACTGTATTAAGCATGAAACTTCCTGTTTTCCCTCTCCAGAATTATGTGAAGGCCATGAGGCTGTTTGTCGGAGAACCTGTGTGGACAGCGTACAACAGGCCTGCTGATCACTTTCCTGCTCGGGAGCGGTACCGGCAGTCTTTGGCACAAGCAGTTCAATAAACCTTTAGGAAGGCTTAATACTCAAGTGTGTCCCATAACTTCTGTAAAGCAGAAATAACCAAATGGCTTTGTTAACACTGCCTGCTATTAATGAGCATTTGATTTCCTGCAGCTCTAATGTAGGGAATGCACAGGGACTGTTGAGCTGTTAATTATATATTGATTGCCAGATGATTACAATTATTTTTTTTGAATACCAGATTGTGGGTTTGTATTGGACCTTGATTTATTTCTAGGGTTTTGCATACTCACTCATGAAATTATATCTAGTTGTATGTTTATTTTTCTTTTAAGTTAGATACAGTAGAATGTTGATCACTCTCTGTTATTGTATTAATCCAGTTGTCTTCTAATATAGCAAAGATTTATTCCATAAGAAACACATTAATTTTAAAAAATAAAATGTAAGAGAGGTGTTCTGAGCAGAAAGAATTGGTATCTGTCCTGCATAAATCAGACATTTACTGCAAGAATTTTTTTTTTAACTGGAGCAAATTGGCTCAGGATATTAACCCTTTCTCTTTTCGTAAGACTGGTATGCAATTCACTCTTGTTGGGCTATCTCTGCCTTATCCAAAACCACTGTTATACCTTAAAATCTGATTATTTTTTTTAGTATAATGTTTTTCTTTATTTTGAACACACACACACACACACACAAAGATAAATGTACATAAACATACAGACACAAATGGGGGGCAATCTTGGTTCCAAATATTTAACACACTTATGCCAATTTTGTAATACCCTTATATAAACCGTCTCATAGGTTTAAAGTCTCTTTTGCACATATGTAAAGTTATATTTTCAATATCCTGAGAAAAAATAAATAAATTTTAACTGACTGTTGCTTAGCTTAGTGTAGTTCTCAAACCAAGTATAAAATCTTGACCATGTATTTTCAAATGTACTTCCTGGTTGGCTTTTCAAAAATAAAGTCAATTTATCCATTTCTGTTTCCAAGATTTTGTTGATAATTTCTTCTCTGGACGGTGTTTCTGCTCTTCTCCAATATATAGATTCTAGCAGAGGTAATGAAATACAATATAAGATAATACTTTTTTAAAATATTTTCAGGTAAGATACTCAACAAAAATATTTCTGGAACATAAGAGATGCCAATGTTGGATCAGGCCAAAGGCCCATCCAGTCCAACACTCTGTCACACAGTGGCCAGAAATACCAGTGCCATCAGGAGGTCCACCAGTGGGGCCAGGACATTAGAAGCCCTCCCACTGTTGACCCCCCCCAAGCACCAAGATGACAGAGCATCACTTGCCCCAGAGTCCCTATCTATACCTTGTGGCTAATAGCCACTGATGGACCTCTGCTCCATATGCTTATCTAATTCCCTTTTGAAGCCGTCCATGCTTGTAGCCGCCACCACTTCCTGTGGCAGTGAATTCCAAGTGTTAATCACTCTTTGGGTGAAGAAGTACTTCCTTTTATCCGTTCTAACCCGACCACTCAGCAATTTCATGGAGTGCCCACGGGTTCTTGTATTGTGAGAAAGGGAGAAAAGTACCTCTTTCTCTACCTGCTCTTTCCCATGCATAATCTTATAAACCTCAATCATGTCACCCCTCAGTCGTCGTTTCTCCAAGCTAAAGAGCCCTAAGCGCCTTAACCGTTCCTCATAGGGAAAGTGTTCCAACCCCTTTATCATTCGAGTTGCCCTTTTCTGCACTTTTCCCAAAGCTATAATATCCTTTTTAAGGTGTGGTGACCAGAATTGCACACAGTATTCCAAATGAGGTCGCACCATTGATTTATATAGCGGCATTATGATATTGGCTGATCTGTTTACAATACCCTTCCTAATAATCCCCAGCATAGCATTGGCCTTCTTTATTGCAGTCACACACTGTCTCGACATTTTCAGTGAGTTATCTACTACAACTCCAAGATCTCTCTCTTGATCAGTCTCTGCCAGTTCAGACCCCATCAACGTGTATTTATAGTTAGGATTTTTGGCTCCAATGTGCATCACCTTGCACTTGGCCACATTGAACCCCATTTGCCATGTTGACGCCCACTCGCCCAACTTTGACAGATCCCTTTGGAGTGCCTCACAATCCTCACTGGTTTTCACCACCCTGAACAACTTCGTATCATCCGCAAATTTAGCCACTTCACTGCTTACTCCCAACTCCAAATCATTAATGAACAAGTTAAAAAGCAGTGGACCAAGTACTGATCCCTGTGGTACCCCACTGCTTACACCCCTCCACTGGGAGAACTGCCCATTTATACTCACTCTCTGTTTTCTATTAATTAGCCAGTTTTTGATCCATAAAAGGACTTGTCCTTTTATCCCATGATTTTTGCTTACTTAGGAGCCTCTGATGAGGAACTTTATCAAAAGCTTTCTGGAAGTCAAGGTAAACAATATCTATTGGATCCCCCTTGTCCACATGTTTGTTCACCCCCTCAAAGAACATTAACAGGTTAGTGAGACAAGATCTTCCCTTACAGAACCCATGTTGAGTCTGCCTCAATAGGTTTTGTTCATCTATGTGCCTACTAATTCTTTCCTTAATAATGGTTTCCAATAATGGTTTCCACCAATTTACCCAGTATCGACGTCAGACTGACTGGCCTGTAATTTCCCGAATCTCCTCTGGAACCCTTTTTAAAGATGGGAGTGAAATTAGCTACCTTCCAGTCCTCAGGAATGGAGGCTGATTTTAAGGAGAGATTACATATTTTTGTCAGGAGATCCACAAGTTCACAATTGAGTTCTTTCAGAACTCTTGGATGTATGCCATCTGGGCCTGGTGATTTATCAGTTTTTAAGTTGTTTATCAGTTTTAGGACCTCCTCTCTCGTCACCTCAATCTGACTCAGGTCTTTCAACACCCCTCGATGTATGCCTAGGAGTGGGGGGGCACCTTCCTCCACAAACTGGAATGCAGCAGAAATGGCAACGAAGCAACAGCGATGGATGGCGAATGGCGATCCGGCTAACATGGTGGCAGCTGACGGCGAAAGGCAGCAAGCCACCCGGACGGTGATTGGCCTGGAGGGGCGCAGTGACGGGACGACGCAGTGTAGTCAGAGCCTATGAGGACGGAGACCAGCCGCTGCAGCCGTCACACAGCCGCGCGGTACCATGCCTGAAGGAGTCGCTGCGAAAAGATCAGACCTTCACCGAGAAACTGCCATCTGGAGACCGAAGATCCCTCCATGAAAAAAGGAACCACATAGAAGAGTTCGGCTGCTCAGGTGCCTGGTAGGCACTCACCCTCCCTTGTACTGTGGCCCTAGTCAGATGAAATTAAGAATGCTCTGTAAACCGCTCCGAGCCTTCGGGAAGGAGCGGTATATAAATGTAATATGTAATGTAATGTAATGCCATCTGGGCCTGGTGATTTATCAGTTTTTAAGTTGTCTATCAGTTTTAGGACCTCCTCTCTCGTCACCTCAATCTGACTCAGGTCTTTCAACACCTCTCCTGAAATCAGCGGTTCTGGAGTGGGCAAGCACTTCTCATCTTCCACAGTGAAGACAGAGGCAAAAAATGCATTTAGCTATCTGAAGGTTTTTCCATTTTTCCAGGTCTTTCTTAATTTCTTTCAACAACTCCATATAGTTATTTTCCATCAAAGAACTACATTTATTCGTTATGTTTATTCCTAAATATTTGATCATCTTCTGGATCTCAAGTCCTGTTATTTCTTGTAAGTGGTGAGCTTGAGATTTTGTCATATTTTTTATCAGCATTTTATATCCTGCCCTTCCCCAAGGGCTCAGGGCGGCTAACAGACGAGGCATAGTGCCAAAGTTAAAACAGATAAAAACAGAATACAAATACGGTACAATACTGTTGGAAATCTATGTGTTTACAAGGTCTGACAATCCAGTCATTAAAGGGTTAACTTGTTTACCTAGTATTGCTATTGTTTAGACTGACCTGGAAGGGATAACTGGCACTGAGCCAATGGGGAATTAGCCCGGGAAAAGTAGCTTCTATTGTGATACAGATTGGTTGTTTGTTTTCAGGTGACTTCCTTTCTAGGGGTCGAGGACAGATTCTCCATTATCTCTGTGTTAGTGTGTGACTATGTTTTGAGAAGTAAGCAGTAGAAAATGTAGCTGTTAGGTGTTCTGTTATTTAGTAGGTTCCCTGTATACCTTTTACCCTTAGAAATAAAGGTTTTTAAAAGCAAAGAAATCTCTTCTTTCCAATAGAGCAAGATCCATTGATACTCTGAGTAA